CAGCACCACAGTATAATACTCTTTACTTTGCAAGACAAGGTTTTGAAAGCCTCTTAAGTTAAACTTTGCATGGAGGCAACAGAAGGGCAGGCTGGCTCACAATGGAGATGTCTGTGCCCCAGGAATGTAGACCTCATACTCTACAGAACCTCCTTTGTCAAACATGACTTCCCTGACTTTGATCAAGTGTCTCTGAAACCCCTATCTTGCTTGAATCATCCTCAAAAATGTCCCATGTTCTTTCTGCCCTCACTTTTCTCCTGCATCTACTCCCCTTGGATCAACAGAGGTCTGAAGATTTCAGTTATAACCCTTACAGGTCCAGGCCATCTGTTGTAGCAAATATCCATTTGAATAACCTACAGAATATAAGCCAAAACACAGTCCTTCATGGTGATTATGTTATAGAACTGGATATTTGCTCATGGGTAATAATGAGTTCAATAACCTAAGTGTGTGCAAAACAAGGGAACACACACAGTAAAGGGGCACACATTTATGAGCAGATATATGACAGACTATATCTACTATCATAGGGATTAAACACTCCAAGGGCTGAAAGAGTGGAGTCAACAGGGGAAATTTAAGATCAAACACAGAGAAGCAGCAGCTGAATCCCACCTAGCCAGGAAACCCACTTGAGAGCAGTTTTATATGATCATCTCTATATGCATTATGTTTTGGTTTTGTGTTTTTTTTTTTTAATCTATGCACAATTTCTTGGTCTGCACACACATATTTCAGTATAGAAAAAGCATCCTCTACCAGGCTGAGACATTTAGGCCTGGCAGAACATGCTTGGCTGTTGCTTGAGCCATCACAGTGCATTTCTTGGCTTTCAAAGTCATACAGGACCTCATGATGACACGAATTAGGTTTTTACCCACTGCTGCTATTATGTTTGGGTTTACCACTAATGATGTGCTTGGCATGTTACATATTCTAATACAAGGATCATTTTGGCTTTAACTTAGTGATACAGCTGAGGTAAAGGCCTAGAGAAACAAGGCCAGTGCCTCTGCTGTCCTCCTGGAAAAGCACAGGATTTGCCCTCTAACAAATGCCTCAGACCTCACCCAGTTATCCTACACATAAAAGCATGACCTGGCAGGTGTTTGGCACTGGCTCAGCTGGAGAGCAGTTCTAAAGCAGGGGGATGATCTAAATATTGTCAGGTTTGAGTTTTCAAAAGCTGAGACAACTGTATTCTGCCAACACTTAGAATGTGAGCCTTGTCCATATGAAGGAGCCCACAGCACACGCACAGCAGCCATTGCACAGGCTGCAGCTGTTGGGAGTCCAGCACCACAGATCCAGTTCCTTAGCATTGCCCATACCCATGAAAATCCAGGAAACAGGACAAGAGTGAAAAACAAAAATTCATGCCCATGCAGCTACTGCAGCACTGCAGGCAAAGAGAAAGGAGATATGAATCCTTTCCTTCCAGGTGTGTCATGTTCTCCCATCTGGAACGGGTTTCATTCCATAGGGTCTCCTCTCATTTTTAGGAACAACCAGCATTGCAGGCACTTGCAACCTGGCTCCCAGTGGTTCTGCCTGCTTAGCCCCCCCGAGCTGCTTCTTCTGACACCAAGACCTGTGTCTTGTATCAAGACATGGTACTCCAACCTGACCTGCAGTAGCCATCCATCACATGCACATGGCCTGCATGGCTGGTTCCCCCCTCACAGTCCTGCCCCTTTCTGCTACTGAAGTCTCACTGTTACACCTGAAGGCTGAAGATGATCTTTTCTCTTTGAGAAAGATTATAGACACAAAGGTGAGCAGCTCCAGCATGATCAGGAGCAGAGAGCTCCAGGACAGTGCATGGGGGGGTTTCCTAAACTGGGGGAACATCAGGGGAGATGAGACCCACAAGGAGCCCACAGCTCCTGCCACAGCAGCTGAGGAGACCTGGGCAGGGTCAGGAGCAATGACAGGGTAGCCCCCACACCTATGAAAGAAGCCCCATGGGGAGCACTAGTCACCAGGAGCACCATGGGCAGGCAAACAGGCCACAGCACAACAGAAAGGACTTGGAGTCTGGAGAGTTCCTAGTCAACTGGCTGCTGAAAAAAGTCCCAATTTTTAAAAAGAGTAAGAAGAAGGAGTCTGGCAATTACAGGCCTCTCAGTCTCACTTTGGTGCCTGGTAAAATTATGGAGAAGGTTATTCTGGGAATTACTGAAAATGTCTTGAGAGACAACTCAGCCACTGGTCACAGCCATCACTGGTTCACAAGGGGGGAAGTCCTGCTTAACCAATTCAGTTTTCTTTTATGACAGCGTCACCCATCTAGCTGACCAAGAAAAGCCAGGAGATGTGGTTGGTTTGGGATTTTAGCAAAGCTTTTTACACTGTCTGTCACAGTATCTTTCTGTACAAGATGTCCAGCACACAGCTAGACAAGTCCATAGTGCTGGGTGAGCAAGTGGCTGATGGGTCAGGCTTTTTATAGTAAATGGGGTTACATCATGGTGGGGTTCCTCAGAGCTCCATTTCAGGGCCAGTGCTCCTTAATGTTTTTATAAACGATTCAGACAGAAGAATCAAATGGACATTAATTAAGTCTGCTGATACTAAACTAGGAGGAGCTATGGACTCCACTGGGGGTAGAGAGGCCTTACAGAGAGATCTGGATAGACTAGAGAGATGTGCAAACACCAGCTTCATGAAACACGAGAGCAAGTGCAGGATTCTCCATCTGGGTCAGAGTAATCCAGGTTATACATAAAAATTGGGGGATGAGAGACTGAAGAGTAGCACTGTGGAAAGAGATCTGGGGATCTGGATTCATGGCAAGTTGAGTGTGAGTCAACAGTGTGTCCTGGGGGCCAAAAAGATCAACCATGTCCTGGGGTGCATCAAGCACAGCTCAGCAAAGCCAGTCAAAGGAGGGGATTGTCCCACTCTACACTGCATTGGTGGTCTGTGCAGTCTACAACTTCCTCAAAGGGGGCAGCAGAGTAGGAGGTGATGATCTCCTCTCTCTGGTGACCAGTGACAGGACTAGAGGAAATGGAACAAAGCTGCATCAGGGGAAGTTCAGATGGGACATTGGGAAAAGTTTCTTCACTGAGAGCCTAGAACAGGCTCCCCAGAGAAGTGGTCACAGCACCAAGCTGGATGATGCTCTTTGTCATATGGTTTAGCTTTAGGTAGTCCTGTGAAGAGCAGGGAGTTGAACGCTATGATCTTTAAGTGTCCCTTCCAACTTGAGATACTCTACGATTCTATATCCCCAGGCTCCCTTTCCAGTCAAGCCAGCAATGTACAGCTGGTCAAGCTTTGCTCTCCATCAGCAACAGCAGTGGCACTCAGCCATTGGACAGACATGGAGCCCAAACACACCAGGTCCCAAACGTGCTTCCTCCACAGATGAGGACAAGCTGCCTCAGCTGGCAGGAGTGCCAAATAAACAAAACAAGCTGCCCAGAAACTCAGAGATCAACTGTGCCTACACATTTGTTTGGGACAGTCCATGCTCTTTGGCTATCCCAATCCAAGAAGTTCTGCACACACTGCGGGGTATTTTTATTTTCCCCCCTCCGATCCTGACTTGCAGACCTGGCTTTGCAGGCACGACGACAACACAGAGGGAGTGATGTTTTCCAACACTTTTCTGCAGAGATCAAAACATAAGGCAACCAGAACTTCCTTCAACTGCAGCAGAACTCATATTGTAAACATCACGTTTCCCATCAGACTCCTGACTCTGCTCACCTGCCAAGCACAAGCTGGTTTCCAGAGCCTGAATCCTGAGTCTCAAAGGCTAAACAGTGACTGTCAGTGGGAGGGCTGCAGGAAGATGGATGCAGAAATGTCTGCTTTATGGCCCCCACGCCTCTAGCCTGGCTCAATGATATTTCCTGCCATGAGCAACCCTCATTTAGATTGTAATTTCACATGATGCATTACCACTATATACAATCAATATATCACAATCATAGAAAGAACAAACGAGAAGATGCAATGGCCATAAATGCCATGTTCTCTTTACTGCAGCATTCTTCCCTTCAGACCACAATCCAATATTATTTTAAATTCCCTGAGCAATAGAGTAGCCACAGAACCTCTGGAAAGGAGCTCTACAGATTCTTAATCCCATTTTCAGTATGAGCCATTACTCCTTCCTTGATAAAATCATTTAAATCCTAAACCCTCCTGTCAATCTTTTTCCACTGTTCCCCACAACTTGAAATTTCATTTTGGTGACAAGGAAAACACCCACAACTGGGTGTGATATGGAGATACAGAAAAAAGGAGGTCCTCTCCTCTGCATTCTAGGTCTGCAGCCTCATTTTTTTTGGGGGGGGAGGAAAGGAAGTTTGCAGACAGAATTGCCTAGAAATAAAAATATTTTTAAATGCAAACTATTCCAGTCATGCTACTTGTTTCCCATTCTCATGCTGGTCACCATTGACAGTAGTTTTAGGGACAGATAATCCAGTAACTTTCAGTGGTTATTCTGTATCTTCAATTTTAACCTCCAAGGCTTAATACTCAGTCCTGCCTAATAGTTGCAGTAACAAAATACTCTGGCTTTTGTCCTTCAGGTTATTAATGACAATATCCAATGAAAAGAAACAGTCTGGCAGTTACCTTGTGACCCAAATTTAATCCAGTTGAAAACTCAATAATCTCAAAATTATACTTTACTTTCCCCAACCCTTTTTTTTTCATTCTTCCAGCAAGTTGCTTTACTGCATTATCCTCCATGAACTCACTGCTGCTTACAGAAAGCAAAGATTATTATTTCAATTCAATAGCATTTTTCATGGCCAAAGCACAAAGGAGACTCAAGTAACATGAAGGGGGAAAAGCCCTGAACAGAGTTTTATCTGCAGAAGGAGGCATAACACAATATAAAAGTTCCCCACAAAGATCCAACTGTATCACATCATCCTGCATACTGTGCACTCTAATATAAACCTTTGAGCTACAGAAGGCAGCAGCAAGCCACTCTCATTTAATTACCCCAGTGAAGGATTAGATCCTACCTTTTCTCCTTTTTCTCCTCTGCCATAGACTCTGCCCTAGAAACAAAAGGAGAAAAGTTACATTTGATAGTAAGGATGTCAAACAACACTATAAATATATATTTCATGTTTTCCTTGTTAGATATCTGTCATTTATCTATATATCCATATATATATAGGCATATATATGCAGGAGTTACAGGACAGCTGATATAGGGAAAGTAATTTTCTTTGGGCATAATCCCTTGATAATAATTCAGTGACAAATTAAAATAGAAAACCTATCCCAGATTCTCCTACTGCAGCCAGGAGAACATCTTATTTTCTATTCAGGGTAGAGTCTGATAGTACATTTCTAAAATCAAAGATGCCAACAACACTTATTAGAATGAATTTTACATAGGGTTAAAGATTTTCTTGCCTAAAAACTCAGTCCGACATTTGCATTAATTGCAGCTGAGGAAAGCAGTATTTTGGTCATCTGAATGTAAAAGAGATGAAAGAGATTTGCATCTTCTTTGTGTTCAGCTGCCTCATACTTTCCCCCTTGGATGTGCTCTGTTAAAATCAAGTACTCCCAAGTCACATATTTTAATTAGAAGGTCAATACTAAGCCCATTATAAGCTGGATTCAGGAATGAACCCATCCATTTCCCCATTTCCAAGAAATGCCAGCGGGTGCCAGAAAGATGATCTTTCTCCTGGGGATAAAGGCCCAGCAAAGAGAACATATTCAACAGGGCACATTGACATTGTGAGCAAGTTCTCACCGTAAAGGAGAAAACAACTACTTGTATTTCCATCTCCTTACATAAAATCATTCTGACATTCCTTACTTACTGACTCTCCTTTTTCTCCTCTGAGTCCAGGAAGCCCTTGGCTGCCACTTTCTCCCTTGAAAAAGAATAAAGGTTGTTAACACCACAGAGTTAATTCATTCCTTTCTTGACAGGCATAGAAATAACAGTCAAGATTTCCTATTACACCTCCCTGCTGGGTTAATCTGTGAAGTGTGTTTGTATTTTGTGATTAGCTTTCCATTGCTTTGAATTTTTTTGAATTTGAATCTTTGGGAAGAAAAGCAACAAGGGTTTGACTGAGGTTGTGGACACTTCTGGTCCCACTAGTCGCTACTGTCAAGGTTTCAGCTCCTGCCATAAGGACTGCATGTACCTCATTGCATTTACACTGACTTGAATGTCCAAGTTCTCAAGGTGATTTTATGTTCTATTTTTCATACAAAAATACTACTAGAAGCCTTCAGAATGCACTGGTAAGGCAGAGAGCCTTCCTTTGCCAGGTACTTCAAAAGTCCTTCCTTTCTATGAAGCCAGGAAACACTTGGAAAGGTGGTTTGCATAAGACCTAGAGGGTGCACACCTAAAATATGGAAAAATAAACTTGGAAATATTGTCAAGATTTTAGAGCTGTTTTTTTTTTAAAATACCAAAACCCATTGGTTTGATTCATATTGAATTTTCATGATCAGGTAACTCCTCCCTTCCCTCACAGAACTGTGCAACACAACAATGCAAGAGAGGGAAGAGAATCCAGAAAAAAGACAGTTGAAAACATACAAATTATGATGGACAGAGGAATAAAAACTAGAGAAGCAAATACAGTGGGAGGAAAAGACAAAAAATGGTCAATCAAAAACCAAGCAAAACTTTTTCTTCACTTGTCTCCTAGAAAGGACAGGCATGAAAGGGATAAAGAATCAAAGAAGAGGAATCATTTCATAAATATTCATCAGGTAGGGAATGAAAAGTTTTACCAAAAACAGCAAGTTCAGAAAAAAATCTGCAAATCATTTTCACACACTGCTCTGCAGTCACCAAACTGGAAGGACTGCCAGCTGAGGAGATACCCTTTCTAACACTTTTTCAAGGCTCTCTGCAGCATTGCCAGAAGCTCCCCCAATGCCTCTAGCACCAGGAGCTGCTGCTGGAGGGCTCTGCCCACACTCCTGCACCCAGCTCCTGCCTGCCTGCCACCCAAAATGTACCCACCAGATATATGCAGTGCTGAGCTCTTCATCCAGCACTAACAAATACAATGTCCTCACCTATTTGTACCTCCCATGGTCTTTGCTTGTAGGGAGTTCAGGCACTTTGGACTTCAGTGTAGACATGGTATCAAGTAGAAAAAGTCTTAGACCTGAAGCAGGACCTTCCAGCGCCACAGGAGCTTCAAGTCCAAATACCCCTGTACTCCTCAAATCTTCCCACAAAGAACACAGTAGGATTTAATTTTGTGCCTCTGTTCAATTGGTCCTGATCTATGCCTCAAAACATGTGCTTAGGCTGCACCAGATGCTGAAACACTTGTTAGGATCATGCTTTCTCTTCCTCAGATGAAGACAGGCTTTTGAAAGCACAGGAAATATGAAAATTTATTTCTTCAAACTATATGTTTGGGGTTTTTTGCCAAAAAAAACCTCACAGAGCAAGAAACATCTATGCAAAAACAATGTCATGGTTAATTTAGGGAGCTTGTGGCAAAATTTGTACAAGTTTTTATGCAACCATCTCTTTTAAGGCACTTAAAGTACATTAAAACTCTTTCTAACTTGGAGGAAAAAATATATCCTGCTAGAATGTGCCTCATACACTGAACACAGATTGATGGCAGTGCTGGAAGAAAGCAGGAGCCTGTTGACCATCAGCCCAGAGCCCCAACCAGCCAGCCTGGCTGCCTGCAAACAGCACAGCATGCAGAGTGAGTACAGAAGGAAAATAAATTAGACTGGGCTGTTGTTAGCATCTAAAATTTATCAGCAGGACCCAGCTTCAGACATGTTAGCCAATTATTCCAAAGCCATTTCCTGCCTCTCTTCCCCAGTGCCATCATTCCCTGTATCTCCTTCCAAAACATGTCTGCTGTGTCTCCATGCATTACCTTCAGCATGGAGAACTGAGGCAGAGGTATTCAGCTCTGAGGGATTTTTTTACTTTTTCTAAAAATTGCAAGCACTTCTGTTTTCCCCTGCCTTCAGAGCTTTAGAGAGGAACAGAAACTCATTATCATCCTACGCTGGTTTTAAACTTCAAATATTTCCATTGATCAAATGGCACCAAAAGCAAAGTCTGTCCAAACCTCCTCCTCTAAAAGAAGGAATATGCTATGGGAGCTCAGGAGGGCAGAGCCTGGACTTCAATTTTCCATCTACAACTCAGAGGGATGTCAGCCATATTCATTTTACTTAAGAGACCTTCAAACTGACCTTTTTAAAAGAAAAACAGAAAGAACCCCCCAGCCATTATTCCTTCTTAGGATAAAGAGTGAAAAAACCACAAACCCCACCCTCCCCCCCCCAAAAAAAAAACCCCTAACAACACAAAATGAAACCCCAAAACAATCTTAGCTTAGAGAAGAAGCTTCACAGTCTTCTTGTCTTTCTCAGCCTCTCCAAATTACCCCTCATTTGAGGTAAAGAGGGTGTTTTATGCTTTTTTTAACTCCAACCTCTGTCCCTGTAAGTGTCCCCTGGTGGGACTCATTTCTCAGGTGACTCCCACCAGCTAAGTGCTGTTTTTCTGATACAGTTGAACCAGCTGATTGCCTGGGTTCTTATATGACCATAAAGTATCTCACAGGACATTACTCACAATCAACCTGCAAAATCTTTTTGAATAATGCTCAAGTACTTGCAGCCCACCTCAATAACCTTGGGGGCCCAGTTATTTAGGGGTAGATTTCAGCTTTGCAATTAATCCCAAATAAGAGATGTCTATAGTGATGTCTACAGAGAAAACAATAAAATTTGACTCAGAGTCTTGTTGTGACTTTCCATTTAAAAAAAATATATAGTTTCTTTCCTTATTAATTTGCTTACTCCAACCTCTCTGCTTAGTGAATTATTTCTTGGTCTTTTCCTATGCTGTATTCACTCCTTAGCATGTTTTAATCAAACTTAAATGTACAGCAGAGATCTTATGTTTTTTTTCTAGTGTTTCCTGAAGCCCCAGCTCTTGGATTCAAGTAATAAATGGAAATCTTTGATAATTGTTACCTTCAAAAAGCTTTACACCCCTCCTCATTACACAGCAATGAAGCTTTAAAACACAAGCCTTGCATCTGAGAAATGAGGAGCCAAACTGAATGATGTTAAGACATATTATGGACACTTATGACAACATAATGCAGAAATCACTAATATTTTGGGGGTGCTGAGTCTTTCGTTAATAAAATCCTAGGTGGTAATACTGGGGAGTTGCAAACACCATTATTTTTCTTCCCCATGGGCAGCATTTTAGCCTGGGTAACTCAGTCATATTGCAGAGAGAGGAGGAGAGGTATTAGTTCCTGCACATAGAACAGGGACTGTGACAAGTTGGTCCTTGGAAATAGCAATGCAGTAACTGCTTTCAAGGATGGTACAGATTATTTAATCACAGCTTTGCAAGGCAGGAACAAAGTCTATTAGTCGCCTTATTTAGCAGAGGGAAAAGCTCAGTCACGTGTCTCAAATCACCACATTTGTACCAAATCATTGTCAGAGCCTGGATTTCCATGGCGTCATCCCCAGCTCCCTGAGACTGTGACACAGTCCTGCATGGGCTGTACCCAATCTTGGACCTCTGCAGCCAGGGAAATGTCACACAGAGCTCTTCAGGAACCCACCACGGAATGGGACAGCTCTTTTGGGATCTGTTACAGAAAACCTGCTGATGCTGTCCTCGGATATACACCACTTTGTATTTGAGTAGGATCTCCTCAGCCAGCTGCATGCCATGCTGCCCAGTACAGCCACCCTCACCAGCACATATACCTTGTCAAAGCAGTGAAAGGCAACGGGATGTGACTGCAGGGTGCTTTTATTATTATCATCATTGTCCTTCTGCAACCTTCTCAGCACTGCCATTCTTCAAAACAGCCCATCACCATTTAAACTGTCACAGCTTAAAATAGAAAGTTGCTATTTATATACACCTGGAAGCATAAAGAAACATTTTCTGCTGTTTCAGTCAGGGATATGTAGGCATTAATGCACCCATGATCTTTCACGCCAGCAGAAAACATACTCCAAAACCCATCTCCTCGTCATCCAAAACTTCTCCCTGCAGACAGCAGACCAAGCCTTGCCAAAAAACCCACAACATACTGCTGAGGATGTCGGACCTTCCATGACCCAGAGATTTCTCCTTTCCTCTCCCACAGTTTCATAGTAACTGAGTAACTTTTCGTAAAATACAATTCACTTACTCACCAAACAGGTATAAATTCAGTGACTGTATTTGTGGAAGTGATTCAGATGGAAATAGTTTTGAATACAAATTGTTCTCAAAGACCTTCTTAATCACATAGATGGTGAAACTGGGAAGCACCAGCACCACCAACTTTCACCTCTTCAGCAACACTTTGAATCCTTGATTGCTTGCAGTACAAGTGTTCCCTTAAGTTAATTGTCTCACAGCTCTGTTTGTAACTAAGCACCAAAGGAAAATATCTGTATGCTGAATGCACACGTGTGCATATCAAAGAAGCTTGTAGAATATGTAGAATAATAATAGAGGCTACACTGTGAAACTTGAAACAGACATTACAACTTTTCTCCTACCCTGTTATCTAGGAAGAAGAGTACTGAGGAAAGTGGTCTATATTTTACATCATGACTCAGTCTTGCTGAGCACAACAGATTGTGGCAAATCCTTTAGCCTAGTCTCAGGAAATTTTGTAGTGTGGCTGGGAGGCTACAACCTAACCTGTGGATATCTAACACAGAAGCAGCACATGGATTTTCCAGGTGACTTATCATGAAAGCTGTGCAGGACCTACTGAATAACACCAACTTGCAAAAATGCCAGTTTAGAAGCTGCAGCAAAAGATTTTGGACCACACTCTAAGGATGACATAAAGCAGCAACAGAGAAGCTCAAATGCAAGCCTAGGGCAAAGATACAAGATAGCCAGAGTCACCTGTGGTCCCAGGCTCATCCAAAACTATCTGAATTTAGTCATATGCCAAACTGGCTCTTACATCTCAAATCTTCAACTCCTCAACTTACTCTGAAGCAGGCTTTTTGTTGTTTTTTCTTGTTTTTGCCTTTATTAAACAAATGAATTAGCACACATTACTGACCTTTTGACCTTTAGGACCTCCAGGCCCAATTGGACCTCTCTCCCCCTAAGACAAAAAAAAATATTATTAGTCAGACTGATCTTCTCATTATGTAATGAAGCAAGGGGCCAGATTCTACAACAACTGAGGGCAACAAAGATGTTTTCCAGCTTTAATGGAGAACAGACTAAAACTGACATGCCCTCAGGACCAATGTCAATGAAGCTGCCCTTTCAGACGTCCCAGTCACAATCAGTAGAAGCAACCTGACTGCTTTTAAAAGCTATGAGATTTCTTTCACTGTGGCTATATTTACCTCCAGAAACTTCCTCTTTTTTTGTTTTGAAGATGGATGCACATAACTGGGCTGGATAGGAATCATCACTTTGTTTTCCAGGGTGTTACCAGGTCTACCAGCATGATCAAAATCACTGCATTAGGTAAAAATAATTACCTCTGCAGATACGCCACCTGTGAATAGCACATTTCTGGCTCTTCCTATTAAGTGCTTTCCACCTCTCGGTCTTCAAGTGCTTCACAAACAAATAAGCCCTTCTTATAACTCACTTGCATGGTGTCATACCCCTATTTCCAAAACTATCCACCATGCCTCAACTGAAACACATTCATCTCCACACTCACCTTTTGTCCAGCAGGACAGGAGCAATTGAAAAACTTGAGGTGTCCAACTTGCTCGTTGCCAACAGTGGGCCTCACTTCCAGGGGAGGTGCTTCCGTCAGGACCGTGACTTGGCACTACACCCAAACACCCAAGGTCATGGTGAAGCCTTCAGTGCTAGAAAGCTTCATTCTCCACTCACTTTAGAGAAACCACATAGGCATTACTGGATAAAACACAGCTAAATATGTCCAAGTGAGGAATGAAATCCCACAAAAGCCGTTGATTCAAGAAATAGGGGAGAAAGAGGCAAAATGAATAATTAATCCCTTTAACCTAGATGGAGGGGAGAAGAGTGAAATGAGGGTGGAAGTTTCTAAAGACAATTGGGCACAGGAAATTAAGCAGCAACTGGAACCGTTTCAGCTCATCCCAAATAAAACCAGTGGGAAACTTGTTGAATATTTCATGCTGCTTTTCTGTTGTTCTATCATCACTTCAGGGTTTTGTTTCCCCTGAAAGTTTGACAAGGAAAGAACAACTTGGAATCTTCAAATTCCTCATACTCATCCCTCTGCAGTTGTCCTCTCCTGGCACTGCTATATTACCAATTATATAGTTAGTTTTCATTCACCATCAGTTAAAAAAAGACAGTCCCACGCTGCCATATATTCCCTGATTTATGTGATAGATTTCAAAAATGAGTGTTCATGTGAAAATGAATAAATGACAAAAAAAAAAAAAAAGCTTACTGGTCCAGAGGGAATGTCACAGCAAGTCTCCAGCTCAGCATGCCTAGAATCACAGTAAATAACCATCCGCTGAAGATCAAACTAGAAGACAAAGAGAAGCAATAGTCTCAGAGGCAGTGAGTTATTAAAGATGGTATGTCCCTTTGCTTGGATACAAACAGTGCAGACAAATCAAATGAAAACCAGACAGGGATAACTTCACAGTGATTCTGGGGATCCTGTAGTCATTTATCTATCTCCCTCTATCAATAATGGGCCAATAGCTCAGTGGGCTGTAAGTGTGCTGAGCTAATGAGACCCCAAATATGCCCATTTAAATTATAGTGCAGGTTTTCCTGCAAATAAGGAGGCCTGCTGCTCCCCATGTCCTGACCAAGTTTCTGTCTGAGGAAGCAGATTCTGACCACCTCTGTCTTTCCTGCAATTTCATCTAGATGTAAAGTTTGTTTTCTCCTGTTGTGCCTTGCATACTCTTGACCATTCACCCCTGCCTGTGAAACGCTGTTAGCAGGTTTAATATGCACAGTCAGTATGCACATTCCACCCATTTTGCACAATTGAGAAAGGTTACATGAGTCTCAAAACACCAAACAATCATGTAGAATTTACACCAGGTTACTGCTGCTACTGGACAATCAGGTCCAGCCTGCAGGTCTTGACTTCAACTCAATTGGAGCAAGAGTCATATAATATCAGATATCTTTTCTGAGGAAATTAGAATATATGATGACTATCCGGAGTTAACAAGCTTTCTTTTCTTCCTGATCTCTCCCTGTCACAGGTGGAAATGTTTGCAATGCCAAGATTAGACAGCAAAAGAACTTCAGGTGTGTAGTTCCAGTTTGATGGTATTTGTGGATGTTTTTGTGTCTGATTTTAACTATAGCACATTCTGGTACTAACAGAAAGATGAAAGAGAGTTCTCAGTTTTATTACCTATGCAGAGACATTGACAGTCTCAAGTAAAAGGACATGTCTTGTACATGATGAGATACCAACCTGTCTTAGCCATGTAACACAGGTAACATTTCAGTGGTGCTACATCCATAAAAGGGTCATAAACCCCCAAACCTCATTCACATGCTGCAAACCCAACATTGAACACTCCCCAGCTCCCATCAGCACCCGCAATACTTACATCAATGGGGACACTATCGTACAAGCGTTTGCCAATCACAGTCTTCCCCTGAATGTCAATATTTTCCCTCTCTTCAATGGGCAGCATCTGCACCAGCCTGCAGTCTATGTACAGTGAGACAGCCTTGGACTGAATGCTGAGGGCAATTTTGTGCCAGTTGCGGTCAAAAAGATCACCGACCCGTGCATTTCGGAAGACCACCCTGACGGCGTCCTTGGTGAGCCCGATGGCATTGTACTCCACAGCTTTGTTCTCTCCATCCAGTCGGATGGAGACCTGCAAGCAGACAGAAGTGATTTTGCTGAGAAGATAAAAAGCCTTCTCCTTCCTCCTGCCTGCTTTTCATCACGACTGACACGCCAGCGGCAGGGATGGTACAGGATGTGGTGAGAAGCGCAAGCGAAGAGCAAAGGACAGAGTTTTGTGGGAGATATGGACAGGTAGCTTACACCTCTTCGAGTCAGTAAGACAGGGCAGGGCATAGGCCTGAATGCAGATCTGTGACTATCTAAATCCTTCTCTTGTGGGTATAATCCTTGCCATGGTTTCAGCACGTGCCACCTTGATGCCTCCCAGGCAATGCTTGGCCTTGATTGGGTGATAGCATGTCAGATGCATCTCCCCAAAGACAGACAGACAAAGCTGAACCTGTTTTGGATCCCTCTGTCCTGTGCACTCCTCTGAGACTTCCAAGAAGGCTCTGTGCTCTTTGGAATAATAACATTATAAAATTGTTTTGGTTGGAAAAGGCCTGTGAGATGATCAAGTCCAACTGTTAACGCAGAACACTTCGAATTCCACCACTAAACTATGTTCCTAAGCACCACAACTACACATCTCTTAAATACCTCCAGGGTATTCCCTGGGAAGCCTATTCCAGTGCCTGACAACCGTTTCAGTAAAGAATTTTTTTCCTAATATACAATTTAAACCTCCCCTGGCACAATTTGAGGTCATTTCCTCTTGTTCTATCACTTGTTACTTGGGAGAAGTGACAAACATCTACCTCACTATGACCTCCTTTCATTTAGTTGTAGAGATTTAGTCCCATTCCATGTCATCAACCGTCCCATGGGGCATGGACAAATGAAAGCTGCAGAGCTGAAAGGTGTGTGGCTACCTCAGCACCAAGCCTTGTCTGATGCAAGCAGCCCAGGGTAGGCTGACTCCAGATCTGACCCAACATCTCCAGGCAGCTGAGCTCTGTGCTGGCTGGAAACACCAGCTCAGAGCAATGTTAGCTCAGGAGTGTCTGCAGACTGTGAGCTGCACAGGTCTGCAAGGCAGTGCCCAAAACACTACTGACTTCAGGTAAAACAAGGCTCAAGAGGTTCTGAGGCACTTTTGGTACCACCAGTTAAGGCACTTTAAAAAATATTACTGAGAATATTGAGTGCTTTTTTCTCTCACTACCTAAGCACTTTAGTTTTCAGCTGTCTTCAGGAGCTACTGAGTGATATACACATTCTCCCTCTGCAAAAATTAGGAATACAGGTAGCACAGTAAATCATGTTTCACTTAACAAAGTGCAGCTGATAATAAGTTTCATACAAACCTTTTACCATCATCTGAAACTCAGCTAACTCCTCAAACTGCACCTCTCCTTCCCTCTGAGTTCTGCAAATCCTTCTGAATACCAGTCCCAAAGCAGCAATACTGCATTACATGGTTACGTGAGCCCAAGCTCCCAGCCTAACTTGGAGTAATGGGTAATGCCATCAGCACCTTCTTTGTGCTGAGCAGGAAAAGTTACAGTCAGTCCAAACTGCTCCCTCCTCGAGAGACTCTCAAACCCCTATGGCATGCTGCTAAGAACATTCTATCTAGGAACAAACAGCCCTTTATTAAGCTACGATGATATTTTTTGACTGAGAACGTGAGAGTACATGACAGAAATTATGATAAAATTCTGCAGCAGCCATGACTCAGGGTCAAGCTGTAATAGGTGCAACATCCATATCCTAAGTAGAAAATCCAAAATGCCTTTGCATGATATCTAGAAGTCTCTGCAAAAACTTGACATAGTTGTCTGCTCTGTGGCCCATCTGTGTGGCAATCTGTTTTCGAAGCAGGCAAAATACCTTCCCTAAACAGAACTACCTGAACAAAACAATCAAAAACCCCAAAGTGGTTCCAAGAGCAATGATGGTGTATTTTTCTCCCCCTTTCCCAGTAGGACATCTATCTGCATGCTAACAACAATCAAGGTTTATGCAAACCTTCCTTCAGGGTCTGAAGTAGCAAACCTTCCTTTGGGGTTTGAATTAAAGGCAAAGGATTTTCTGCAAAATGAACTGAAAGTCAGAAAAAGGGATTTTTACTAGTCCACGAGGAAAAGGGAGTGGGAGATTAAGGCAAGAAAGCTAGTTCATGCAATAGAAGAGAGCAAAAGTTGTTCTTGCTGGCTGCAAGGGGCCTCGTACCTGTGGTATGCCATACTTGTCAATAATCTGCCAAATATACCAGTCTTCTTTCCTGGAAGCTTTCCGGAATTTGAAGGTAGTTACAAAGGCATATTCATCAGGGAGACCCTGTGGAAATACATCCCTGGCAGGAGGAGGGAAAAGAGAACAATGCATCAGGCTTAGAAGTGAAGAGCAGAACTTCTAAAACTCGGCACGTCCCAGCAACACTTCCCAAAATATCATATAGAAAAAGCCAGACCATGGCACTAAGTGCCACATCCAGCCTTTCCTTGAACACCTTCAGGGATGGTGCCTCCACCACTTCCCTGGGAAGTCCATTCCAATGTCTAATCACCCTCTCCATGTAGAAGTGCTTCCTGATATCCAACCTAAACCTCCCCTGGAGCAGCTTCAGGCCAGGCCCTCTTGTCTTGTTGCTTGTTGCCTAGAAAAAGAGCCCAGCCCCCACCTGACCACAACCTCCCTTCAGGTAGATGAAGGGAGTGAGAAGGTCCCCCCTGATCAGATATCTTTTCTGAGGAAATTAGAATATATGATGACTATCCGGAGTTAACAAGCTTTCTTTTCTTCCTGATCTCTCCCTGTCACAGGTGGAAATGTTTGCAATGCCAAGATTAGACAGCAAAAGAACTTCAGGTGTGTAGTTCCAGTTTGATGGTATTTGTGGATGTTTTTGTGTCTGATTTTAACTATAGCACATTCTGGTACTAACAGAAAGATGAAAGAGAGTTCTCAGTTTTATTACCTATGCAGAGACATTGACAGTCTCAAGTAAAAGGACATGTCTTGTACATGATGAGATACCAACCTGTCTTAGCCATGTAACACAGGTAACATTTCAGTGGTGCTACATCCATAAAAGGGTCATAAACCCCCAAACCTCATTCACATGCTGCAAACCCAACATTGAACACTCCCCAGCTCCCATCAGCACCCGCAATACTTACATCAATGGGGACACTATCGTACAAGCGTTTGCCAATCACAGTCTTCCCCTGAATGTCAATATTTTCCCTCTCTTCAATGGGCAGCATCTGCACCAGCCTGCAGTCTATGTACAGTGAGACAGCCTTGGACTGAATGCTGAGGGCAATTTTGTGCCAGTTGCGGTCAAAAAGATCACCGACCCGTGCATTTCGGAAGACCACCCTGACGGCGTCCTTGGTGAGCCCGATGGCATTGTACTCCACAGCTTTGTTCTCTCCATCCAGTCGGATGGAGACCTGCAAGCAGACAGAAGTGATTTTGCTGAGAAGATAAAAAGCCTTCTCCTTCCTCCTGCCTGCTTTTCATCACGACTGACACGCCAGCGGCAGGGATGGTACAGGATGTGGTGAGAAGCGCAAGCGAAGAGCAAAGGACAGAGTTTTGTGGGAGATATGGACAGGTAGCTTACACCTCTTCGAGTCAGTAAGACAGGGCAGGGCATAGGCCTGAATGCAGATCTGTGACTATCTAAATCCTTCTCTTGTGGGTATAATCCTTGCCATGGTTTCAGCACGTGCCACCTTGATGCCTCCCAGGCAATGCTTGGCCTTGATTGGGTGATAGCATGTCAGATGCATCTCCCCAAAGACAGACAGACAAAGCTGAACCTGTTTTGGATCCCTCTGTCCTGTGCACTCCTCTGAGACTTCCAAGAAGGCTCTGTGCTCTTTGGAATAATAACATTATAAAATTGTTTTGGTTGGAAAAGGCCTGTGAGATGATCAAGTCCAACTGTTAACGCAGAACACTTCGAATTCCACCACTAAACTATGTTCCTAAGCACCACAACTACACATCTCTTAAATACCTCCAGGGTATTCCCTGGGAAGCCTATTCCAGTGCCTGACAACCGTTTCAGTAAAGAATTTTTTTCCTAATATACAATTTAAACCTCCCCTGGCACAATTTGAGGTCATTTCCTCTTGTTCTATCACTTGTTACTTGGGAGAAGTGACAAACATCTACCTCACTATGACCTCCTTTCATTTAGTTGTAGAGATTTAGTCCCATTCCATGTCATCAACCGTCCCATGGGGCATGGACAAATGAAAGCTGCAGAGCTGAAAGGTGTGTGGCTACCTCAGCACCAAGCCTTGTCTGATGCAAGCAGCCCAGGGTAGGCTGACTCCAGATCTGACCCAACATCTCCAGGCAGCTGAGCTCTGTGCTGGCTGGAAACACCAGCTCAGAGCAATGTTAGCTCAGGAGTGTCTGCAGACTGTGAGCTGCACAGGTCTGCAAGGCAGTGCCCAAAACACTACTGACTTCAGGTAAAACAAGGCTCAAGAGGTTCTGAGGCACTTTTGGTACCACCAGTTAAGGCACTTTAAAAAATATTACTGAGAATATTGAGTGCTTTTTTCTCTCACTACCTAAGCACTTTAGTTTTCAGCTGTCTTCAGGAGCTACTGAGTGATATACACATTCTCCCTCTGCAAAAATTAGGAATACAGGTAGCACAGTAAATCATGTTTCACTTAACAAAGTGCAGCTGATAATAAGTTTCATACAAACCTTTTACCATCATCTGAAACTCAGCTAACTCCTCAAACTGCACCTCTCCTTCCCTCTGAGTTCTGCAAATCCTTCTGAATACCAGTCCCAAAGCAGCAATACTGCATTACATGGTTACGTGAGCCCAAGCTCCCAGCCTAACTTGGAGTAATGGGTAATGCCATCAGCACCTTCTTTGTGCTGAGCAGGAAAAGTTACAGTCAGTCCAAACTGCTCCCTCCTCGAGAGACTCTCAAACCCCTATGGCATGCTGCTAAGAACATTCTATCTAGGAACAAACAGCCCTTTATTAAGCTACGATGATATTTTTTGACTGAGAACGTGAGAGTACATGACAGAAATTATGATAAAATTCTGCAGCAGCCATGACTCAGGGTCAAGCTGTAATAGGTGCAACATCCATATCCTAAGTAGAAAATCCAAAATGCCTTTGCATGATATCTAGAAGTCTCTGCAAAAACTTGACATAGTTGTCTGCTCTGTGGCCCATCTGTGTGGCAATCTGTTTTCGAAGCAGGCAAAATACCTTCCCTAAACAGAACTACCTGAACAAAACAATCAAAAACCCCAAAGTGGTTCCAAGAGCAATGATGGTGTATTTTTCTCCCCCTTTCCCAGTAGGACATCTATCTGCATGCTAACAACAATCAAGGTTTATGCAAACCTTCCTTCAGGGTCTGAAGTAGCAAACCTTCCTTTGGGGTTTGAATTAAAGGCAAAGGATTTTCTGCAAAATGAACTGAAAGTCAGAAAAAGGGATTTTTACTAGTCCACGAGGAAAAGGGAGTGGGAGATTAAGGCAAGAAAGCTAGTTCATGCAATAGAAGAGAGCAAAAGTTGTTCTTGCTGGCTGCAAGGGGCCTCGTACCTGTGGTATGCCATACTTGTCAATAATCTGCCAAATATACCAGTCTTCTTTCCTGGAAGCTTTCCGGAATTTGAAGGTAGTTACAAAGGCATATTCATCAGGGAGACCCTGTGGAAATACATCCCTGGCAGGAGGAGGGAAAAGAGAACAATGCATCAGGCTTAGAAGTGAAGAGCAGAACTTCTAAAACTCGGCACGTCCCAGCAACACTTCCCAAAATATCATATAGAAAAAGCCAGACCATGGCACTAAGTGCCACATCCAGCCTTTCCTTGAACACCTTCAGGGATGGTGCCTCCACCACTTCCCTGGGAAGTCCATTCCAATGTCTAATCACCCTCTCCATGTAGAAGTGCTTCCTGATATCCAACCTAAACCTCCCCTGGAGCAGCTTCAGGCCAGGCCCTCTTGTCTTGTTGCTTGTTGCCTAGAAAAAGAGCCCAGCCCCTACCTGACCACAACCTCCCTTCAGGTAGATGAAGGGAGTGAGAAGGTCCCCCCTGAGTCTCCTCTTCTCCAGGCTAAACAACCCCAGTTCCCTCAGCCTCTCCCTATAAAACTTTCCCTCTAGTCCCTTCACCAGCCTTGTTGCTCTCCTCTGGACCTGCTCCAGCACCTTCAGATCCTTCTTGCAGTGAGGGGCCCAGAACTGGACACAGGACTTGAGGTGAGACATCACCAGTGCTGAACACAGGGGGAGAATCACATCCCTACTCCTGCTGGCCACACTATTCCTGATACAAGCCAGGATGCCAGCGGCCTTCTTGGCAACCTGGGCACACTGCTGGCTCATATTAAATGGATTGTCAACCAGTGCTGCCAGGTCCCTCTCTGCTGGGCCACTCTCCAGCCACTCTTCCCCCAGCCTGTAAAGCTGCCTGGGGTTATTATGGCCAAAGTGCAGGACCCTGCCCTTGGGCTTGTTGAATTTCATGCCATTGGCCATGGCCCATCGATCCAGCTATAACAACACATGTTGTAATATTTGCCCCAAAACAGGCACTATACCTCACACCCATCCACAAAGATGTTACTTGGCTGGTGGCTTGGGAGAACAGAAGAACCTTCTCAAATTAAACACTGCAAATGCATTAAGCAGAAATTTACTGAGTGTGACATGATGATCCATGCAAAAATCTGAAGTAACCAAAACCAGCATTGTTTGACTCAGCCCCAGCATAAGAACAAACCACAACATTAGCACTTGGGGCTGGACAGAAGAGATAATAACTAACCCAGTATCATTTTTTATTTTTTTTTTTGTCACTAGCCGTTACTGGATGCATAAGAATGAGAACAAACAGAACAAACATAGCCCCACAACTTTTGATTCTTTGGGACCCAAATTCAGAGACAAATGCAATTTTTATATTAATAGATTTTTATGGATTTATCTTTATGGGCTTCTTCAGTCTCCCCTTGAACTCAGGAAAAATTAATGTGTTCACAACATTCTTTGGCAAGGAATCACACAACTCTGCTACCAACTGTATAATGAGCCACCCCTTGTTTGTTTAGGATCTAACTCAGTTCTTACAACGATGAACCTCTGATGAACAATGAACCTATTATATTTCTTTTTTTTTTATGCCATTGATGAATTTTCAAGTTTTGCTTATAATGCCTCTAAGCCACCTCTTTTCCTAGCTGAAGAGTCCCAGCCAACTTCATTGTTGCCCACACCCAAGCCAGCCAGCTTCTCTGATCACTCCTAAATAGACCCTTCCTAAATATCATGTCTTTGCTTCTGGACATTTGAGCAGTCAGGCAGAAGCACCCATTAGAAAACAAAACAGCACAGCAGCAATTAATGAAGAGCAAAACAGTGGAGAGAGATTCTCTTAAGGAATACTTGACACAGTTCATCACAACACAGAAACTAGCAGACAAAGGCACACAAAACTAGAGGTGTTTAATAATGTTTAAAGCAGAAATCCTCCCAGTTTCCTCAACACTTTGTTTTGCAACTACTGTAAAGGTTGAAAGACCTTTCCTAATGCTGGAATATTCAGTCATCTTTTGATTTGTGTTTTGAATTTCCTATCTTTTTAGCCAAGTTAAAAATTCAGAACACTCCAGTTTAATCCACTACTGTGGCTTTTGCTATGTAAAGTGTCCATGCAGGCTATGCACCTTTATAAGCTGGTCTTCCTAATGGTATCTCAGCTACTCCTTCAAGTCTTACAACATAAAACTGAACCAAGCTCCCACTAGCTCCTTTACAAAATCCTTCCCTTAGGAGAGCAGACAATGCTGTCTCACTTCATGGTACTACCTATTCACAAACCATCTCTCTATGATCACACATCCATCTCTCCCATGGTACAACAAAGGCAGACATTTCCTCCCTTCATGACAAAACAAGTAGTGTGTCAGTTGTGCCTTTTGTGGCAGGGTTGCCATGGAGAATACCACTGGCATGACTGGGGCACTGAAAGCCACCAAGAAAGTCTACAGGGTGTTTGGCAAAAGCAAGCCAGGTCAGTCACATCAGCCCTCCCAAGAGGGCACCCTGCCAGGTCTCCTTCACTGTTGACAAGCCTTAGTGAAAACTTCTTGTCAGATGGCTTGGTACACTCATTGTGTCCACGTTTTTCAGAGAAGGGGCATGTTTCATCTTCTAACATCCACTCCTTCAATAAACTTCAGCAAGGTTGCAATGTTGATAGTCGAAAGGTGTTTCCTATCGCTCCATCCTCTTGAACAAAACACATGGATGTTTCTATGTAAGAACGTGGCCCCTGAGGGCATTTTCTTGTGGCTCAGCTCCTCACACTTTGTTTTTTTCAGCAGTAGTGCCTAGTGCATTTATCTTCATCCACTCCTTACCACCTACCTTCACCGTCACAACTGGGTTTAATGAGGTGCCTCTCTGCCCTGCCCTTAATGATTCTGATGCACATTTTGGGCACAAACATCCCTGTTGAACTACTCTCCCAGCTACAGCCCACCACCAACTCCAACCTCCTACTGAATGAAAAGCAAGCAGAGAAATGGTTCCTCATTTCATCCACTGGTGGCACAAGGTAGCTCAGTTCCATCTGCGGGGTGCTTTGCTCTCTTCCTGATCCATAGTGCATATTCCATTGTCACAGCAACAGCAGCAGGACACATGCTTTCCATGCTGCCTTTCCCTAATGTTTTTCCAACTCTGCATATGCAGCTGTGCTTGGTTCTAAGCACAAATCAAAGGTAGTGGCTGTAACTGTGGTATCATTGCTTTGCTGAGCAGGGAAGTATCGAAGCACGTGGCTGAAATTAATCCCCCAAGATACCACGTTGGGTCTGACAACCTAAAACCAAACCTGGAAGAGCCAACTTCTGGCCTCTGTGCTATCTTTCTGGATATCTCTGAGCTTGGTGTATCACCATGTGAGATTAAATTTTTAAAAGGGTTTTCAGATGCTTAATGCCCAGAGAAATAGGTGGGAGTTAGGTACCTAAATACCCTTGTGAGTCTGGCCACACCTCATCAAACTGAGACTGACAAATGAGCCATCAGGTAGCTTCAAACTGATAGAAACCTATAATGACCTGTCATCCTCAACTGGTTTTTAAAGATGCTGAAGAACTGGCTGCAAGTTTCCAATGGAGAAAGGCTTTGTACCAAAAGCAAGTCTAAAGACACTTTAATTGCTCTGAAAATATGATAAAAGCTGATCCTAAAGTCCTTGGTCCCTGCATCTTTTAGAAAGATGCATTACTGCCTAAATAACAAATCACAGAATCATAGAATGCCAGGTTGGAAGGGATATCCAGGATCCTCTGGTCCAACTTTCCTAGGTACTACTATGGTTTATATAAGATGGCTCAGCACCCTGTTGAGCTGAGACTTAAAACTGTCCCATCTGGGAGAATCTACCACTTCCCTTGGGACATTATTCCAATGTTTGACTGTTCTCATGGTGAAGATTTTACCTCTTGTGTCCAATCAGAATCTCCCCAGGACCAAAACTTGTGCCCATGACCCCTTGTCTTTTCCATGTGACTTTTCCATTGTCTTTTGTCTGCTTATGCATGGTCATTTATTTCCTCACTAAAAAGTGATCTCCATCTTGAAGCTCAGCTTTACTTAGGAATCCATGGGCAGGAATTGCTGTCCTCAGAAGTGTTTAATTTCCTTCTTTCACCCAAGGCTGAATTGAACTGATGATCCATATTATAGTGCTTTGCTGGATGCCTGGTACCTACAGGGAGCATTCTGCCAGCTCCTTGGTCTATAACTCTGACAACAGGATAGATTGCAGAAAAGGCCATTAGAAAGCTCCAAGACAAGTGCTGCAGGTTAGTCTAAGAGCTAATTAACCCAGCTGCATGGTCAGGTGAATCATAACTTCTACAAAGAAAAAATGGTAATCACCAGACAGAAGACACTTTCAGTCATTGCCCACTTTCAATATACAGCCTGTTTCTTACATGCTTGTGTTTGGCATAAGAGCCTACATCTGTGACAATCAGCATGAGATCCTACATCTGTGCTAATAACACAGAGGAGAAAAATAAGATTATCAGTTCTCACTTCAGCCACTGAATGTAATAACAATCCATAGGGTGCCTTCATTTGGTGAGGATGGGAATAGTTTATGTGAGTGGGAGATGTGACCACTTTTACAACAGCTGAAAACTGCTAATACTCAATGTCACTTTACTAACTGTTGGTGGTTTTCATGCCTGAAACAAGGAGAAAGCCACTTCATTTCCCTATGCATCATAACACCAAAGGGTCTTAGAACAACAGAAGAACTAAAAAAGGAAAAGAAAAGGCTGTAGAGGGATTGTCACAAGGCAGGATCAACCCCACCCATATATCCTTTGCAGACTTTCTATGGCCTCTACTTCAGAAACCATGGAGATGGAACAGAAACAACCTCCTTAGGTAATTTCTTCCTGTGTTTCACTGTTCTATATGCTAAAAAAAAATAAATAATCCCCAATCTCACTTGCTGCAGTTTAATCTTCCTGAAACACCTTTTTTTTCCACAAGGAACCATGCAAACAAATTGTTTTCTCCTCTTGGCTCCTCATTTTCTATGTTCACCAGCTCTCCCTTCAGTATTTTATTTTCTAAAAGACCAAAAAAAACTTCAGTTATTCCACTTTAGTCATGCTTCTTCTCCTTGACCTTGTTAGAAGACTCTATCCACACCAGTAAATAATGGTGAGGCTCCATTTGCTATCAGTGAGTGCAGCTCAATTGAACGCTCCTTTCCCAAAGTGTGATCCATCCTCAGCCAAGCCCAGGCATTGTCTGGGATAACACTGCTTGACATGGCCAAAACTAAACTGACATGAACAGATGAACAAGTGAAGAGCACAAATTATGAGTCTACCACTGGGGCCCAAGTTTCACTGGCTAGTAAAGAAGCCTACAAAGAATTCCTGAAGTGTGGTCCTACTAACTTCACAGCAGGTTTAGACAGACACTTTTGTTTTTCTAGATGACAAGCACTTGTCTGGCAACAGAGATCATGGGATCAGATGGAGGCCACAGCAAGATCCTTCAGCTGGGAGTCTGCTCTCACCACTTCCCCAGAGCAAGGAGTTGTCTCTCTCATCCCTCATGTCAGCATCTTGGCCTCTTTCCAACTCCAGCACAATGAAAAATCTTGGAACAAGTCACAGATCAGGTCTAACAGCTGCCTCTGGTATGGGGGAAGAGTGAGGGAAAGGGAAAGACAAGGCTGGCAGAGTGGGAGAGGGTGCAGCATTGAGTCACAAATCCCAGAATCCTTGAGGATGGAAAGGACCTCATCTGGTCTAAAGACAATTTTTCTTGTGTTCATATGGATTTTTTTGTTCTTTTAAATTTGTTCCCATTGCTTCTTGTCCTGTCACTGGATACCAGTGAGAAGAGTCTGGCTCCATATTCCTTTCTTCCTCCCATCAGGTATCTCTACACAGGGATTAGATCCCCTCCTGAGCCTTCTCCAAGCTGAAGAACCTTAGTTGTCTCTGCTTCTCTTCATATTAAATGTTTGGGAAGAAGTAAGGAACAAGGAAGCATTCAACAGTTTTAATGTTTAGGAGGTTTTGGCAGCTTCAGGTAGAATTTTCTTCTCTGTGGATGAGAAAAATTATGAAATCAGGACAAGACCTCCTGCAGACACCCAAGGCAGGTAACTGAAGTCAAAGTTGATGTCAGGAGCCAAACTGTCTGGACAAGCACATCAAAGTATACATGCCAAGACTCAGAAACTGAGGGAGACAACACTGTACCAACATAAAGAGGAAACAGATCATGACTAGAAGCTAGGCCAAGCATCACAAAGCTCTGCAAGGTGGGATGAGGAACAAGCCAGGCTGGAACAAGATCAGACAAGAAAAAACTGAGGGATCGACATGGCAGGAGGAAGGTTCTGGAGTCAGGACTAGGAGAAATAGAGGACAGAATAGGACATCAAACCAAAAGCTTGGCATTAGCCAAGACAATAGTCATGCAAAACAAGCCTGAGTTCTCAAAACCAGAAATCTGGGGCACAGCTTGGGCCAGAAGAGAGACTGAGGAGCCATAAGGAAAACAGTAGGACAGCCCCAGTTACCTGAGGAGTGGGAAGAATCTATAGACCATTCATCAGCCAGCTAGGGAGACCTGTCAGCCCCTTAGTGACCAAGGCATTGACTGCAGTCCTTCCCCTGGCTGTGGTGTTTAGTCTTTAGTTTTGCAGAACCATCACAGGATGCCTCACCACAAAGAGGAACAGAGCTCACAGTTGTAGGGTCCATATCAGAAGATGAACAGGCACATTTCCCAGGCAGCTAAGCTGGCACTTTGTAGAAATACTAGTGCTTATATCATAGGATACAAATCCTTTAAGCAGATAGTAAAAGGAGTTAAATATATTACTCAGTTAATGGCTTTGTATCTAATTATGAGATGTTGCTATCAGTTCCTAAACGTTGCTTGAGGTTGTCTGCAAGACAGGACAGATGTTTTTGTTTTGTTTATTGTTCCAGTTATCAGTTTTGTGCAGCTTTACAGGACTGCATTTTCTGTGAGCAATGACCCTATATGCACAATCTTAGAACCCTGACACCCAAAGAGTAAAATGAACCAAATATGCAGACATCTTCCATGGTAATATGTCCATTTGGGTTCACTCCCAAGCCACAGAAATATAAAGTTACAATACAAAAGGCTAAAAATAGGAAAGTTCTGCTTTAGTTCCATGCTCCAGTTAATCGTTCAAAAGGAAGCTTAGTCATTTCAATCTACTAATTAATGATGTTTTACTTCTAATTGTCCTGGGCAATAAAATATTCAACTTATTTTAAAAACAACAGTAACAAATAAATGGGTACAATCTGAGCAGATGGCAAGTCATCATAGCTGGTTGGTCTGGTTGGTCTCCCTCAGCTTTTCTGGGAAAATAACAACAGAAACAACAACAGCAAAGGACTTCAACCCTTAAATTGAAGCAAATGGCAGCTCTCTGTAATCTGTACTAACTTATTCCAGTGGTTAACTGCATTCATTGTTAAAAGTGTGCCTTTCTTCCAGCCTGTCTTTTGATGCCATTAAACAGGCAGTCACTGACTTTCAGTCTACCACTATACTTGGCACCAAAGATCCTTTACTAAACTTTGATTTCCCCAGGGTTCTTACAGAGAGCAATCACCTCAGTTGCTGCCACTTCTTGATTTCACCTGACTACACTGCACTTCTGAATTTCTCACTGCTTGACCAATTTCCCAGTTTTCTCAGTTTTCATTTACTCCATTCCTACCTACTGAATTGTGGAACCAAGGACTGGACACAGCATCCCAGCAGTGGTGACTGAGTTGCCCAGCACAGAGACAGTCAGCTCATACTTGACAGTTCCTGCTTATACACCCCAGGATTGCACTAGTTCTATTTCTCAGTGTCATCCTGAGCTCAGCTTCCACAGACCATGACTCCCAGAATTTTTTACATGCAAACTAGACTTCTTCATTTCAAGGGCTTCTTCCTAAGTAGTCCTGGTATTAATGTGGTGGTAATGCTTTACAGTGACAAAGCACACTACCACTAGCTGTTACAAGCTCCAGCAAGCAGAGTTTCTCCCCAGAGATTGCTGTGAGCCAAACAATATAGGTTTATTCCCCTCCACACACACACACGTTATGTATATGCTACTTATCAAGACCAAGGTGTCTTCAGTTGGCTGCCCTTCTCTCAGATAACAAATTTACTAACCCTGAGAGTTGAGCATCATTTGTGGACTTTAGAGCAAGCATTTTTCCATTCAGTATATCATATTTGGTTCGTGTGTTGTTTGTTTGTTTTTTTTTTTTAAAGACTGTATGTTTATATGGAGAAAAAAAGGGAAGGGAGAAGGGCAAATCAATCCAGATTGGCTGCAGGACAAAAAGAGTATTATGAAATCAAGCAAAAGTAAGTGACAGGACACTCTCAAAGATACAGTGAGCTGAGTAAAAGAGCTAAAAAGAATAAAAAATAACATCCCTCATCCATAAGAAAGAAAAGAATAACTATCGATTTTTTAAGCTGAAGTTCAAATCAGTATAGAGAAATTTACTGCAAAAATGTTAATGATGACAATTCAATCCATGGCTCATGGTTACTCAGTGAAATTATGCACTCACTCTTCCAAGGCTAATGCTGTCAGGGCTCAAATGACAACCTAAAGAGAAACTGTTCTGATAGACTACAACACAACTGGCAGCGTCGGGTCATAAAAGACTCCAAGGACTGAATCCATGTTGACACAGGATTGAAAACTCATCAGTCTTCTACGAGGCCAAAACTGACAGCAACATCTATTAGGAACTGGTCTTTTGTGATTAGCAAATACATATTTCCATGGGAGTGCTACCAAATATTCCTTGTAGAAGCTATTAATTAAGCCTGAAGTTCTTTTGTGAATTTTTTAATACTGCTCCTGACAACCATTGAGATACACAGAAACCAGCTCATACTCTACCAGGATGGAACTGTAGTTGGTGTGGAGGCTCCTGACCATGTTGCACAGATTCTATGTCAGTGGAAACAAAAGAGCTGATCAAAGCAGCAATACATCTGTAGGTACTAGGTAACTATCATAGAGTCATGGAACCAGTAAGGTTAGAATAGATCTTCAAGATCATCAAGTCCAACCATCAGGCCTACACCCGCTTGACCACTACACCATCCCCCAAAACACCACATTTACACATTTTTTGAACACCTTCAGGGATGGTGCCTCCACCACCTCTCTGGGTAGCCTGTTCCAATGACTCACCATTCTTTCTGTGAAGACATTTTTCCTGGTAGCCAATCTGAACCTCCCCTGGTGCATCTTGACCTCATTTCCTCTTGTCCTATCACTCGTCACTAGGCAGAAGAGGCCAACACCCACCTCACTACAACCTCCTTTCAGGTAGTTGTAGAGAGCAATGAGGTCTCCCCTCAGCCTCCTCTTCTCCAGACTGAACAGCCCCAGTTCCCTCAGCCTCTCCTCATAAGACCTGTTTTCCAGACCCTAATCAGCCTAGTTACCCTTCTCTGTACCCCTTTGTGAAGGTAACCACTTGTAACTACTACAAGGTTAACCTAGAGGAACCAAAGAATGTAAAGCAGAGACTTAGATGAAAATAAAGCAAAAAAAAACCAGGGTACTCACTCAGTTTTCTGAACAACAGGGAAGCTTCCAAGTCGTACATAAGCACTCTGAATTCCATTTTCTTTCATTCCAAAAATCTGTTTCACGCTGAATGAATCCATCAGGTCAAATCCTGTCCACAGCAGAGGTGTAAACATGAGACATTGATCAGGCAGAGGGACATGTCTCCAACTGTACTTCAGTAGTTACCTTAGACCACTAACACAGCATTTCACAGATAAACCTTGTTCTTCTTGGAAAAAGCCAGAACAAAATTCTGACATGGTCTAATCTGCTTAGTTCAAAAACTCAAAACCAACCATAAATTGAAACTGCAACAAGTTCTGGAGAGATTAGAACACAGTTATCCAGAAATCAATAGCTATTTTTTGCATCCCCACAACACCCTGAAAATACTCTATAATTCATTAATCCCTATACAGAAAAATGAACAGGTGCAGAATGAAACACTTATTCAAAGAATCACAGAACCATAGAATCATCGAATGGTTTGGGTTGGGAAGGAGCTTAAAGATCACCTAGTTCTACTAGGTTGCTCAGAGCCCCATCCAACCTGGCCTTTAACACTTCCAGGGAGGGGGCATGGAAAATTTCTCTGGGCAGCCAGTGCCAGTGTCTGATCTCCCTCATCATAAAAGTTTTTTTCCTCACCTCCAATCTAAATCCACCCTCTTTCAGTTTAAAACTGTTGCCCCTTGTCCTGTCACTGCAGGCCTTGGTAAAAACTCTCCTGCTGTCTTTCTTATAAACCACTTGTATATAGTGAAAGGCTGCAATATGGTCTCCCCTGGGGTCTTCTCCAGGCTGAACAACCTCAACTCCTTCAGCCTGTCTTCATAGGAGAGGTTCTTGAGTCTGCAATCTTTGTAGACCTCCTCTGGATCCACTCTAATAGGTCCATGTCTTTACTGAAAACCAAGACATTTAACCTACAGTCACTTTTCATTCCATTTAAATACAACTTAGTCCAATCAACTCATTGTTAACATGAACTATTAGTCTTAACTGTAGACATTTGTGTACAGCTTCTGACTTTGTTCTGACAAGGCTTATTAGCTCAACATATGTGAGTCTATACAGTTCCAGCCTCAATATGGTCCCAGCCACAAGGAACCCATGTTCTTGTGACACAAAGTCCCAGTTGATAAACTCTGCCAGGGACACTGGGGGTACAACCTCTTCTTCCCCTCACACAAGCACAATTACACATATTAACTCCTATGAGTGTAATTCCCACACACAAACCTGCTGATATTACAGTAGATTATTTAGATAAATTGATTCCAAACTATCACAGTCCTTTTAACTTTGTTCAGTTAATGAGCTCCTAAAACTTCTATAGGCTATACAAAGCTCTTTTTTTTTGTGGTGAATTTAGGCCCTAAACTTCTTGAGTTTCTTAGTTGAGCTCATGAACTTTTCACAACCTGCAGGCTGAAAGCTCCTCCAGAGCTTCAAAACACCTGCAACAGGAAAAGACACTCACTCACCTAACGATATTACTCTTCAAATTTGTAGGAATAAATGGGTGCAAAAAATGTATGTGGGCCAATTCCAAGGCAAATCATGACATGACAGCAGACAGCAAATAAAACGTACATCATAGAGCTTTTTCTGAGGAAATATCATTTTGCTTGTTTGCAAAGACAGAAATCATTGCCTGGTGCCACTTTGAGGCCTTTTCTATTAGAGTATCTTTTCTGGCTGTCAACAGCTTTTCCCTCATGTCCACTCTCTTTTTAGCTATTACTGGACATTCAGGAGGACAAATAAGACAGTTAAGATGCTCCAGGGCCTCATGGCTCCACCTCTTAATGACCTCTGCAACAACTCTAGTGACAGACTCTTCTGACAGACTGTAATCAGCCACGATTGCAGCTGTAAACTGTAGCAAATAGATCCAACCAGAACATTAGAGCTCCCTTCTGGCTCTCACATGAAAACCAGTATGACCTGTCCATATAAACTCTCCTGCAGCTCATTTCACCATGCAGCACATATCCCCAACAACAGAAATGTGAGGAAGCCAGTTGAACATTGCTGGTGAGAACACACTGCCTGGCAAGGGAAATAGTTAACTATTCAGAGCAGCTGAGCTGTCAGTGCTGAAGGCTGAAATGGTGCCCAAGTGACATCCTAATGTCAAGTCATCAGAGTCCTTGAGTATTGGATATTAAGAAAAATTTCTTCACAGAAAGAATAGTGAGGCATTGGAACAGGCTGCCCAGGGAGGTGGTGGAGGCACCATCCTTGGAGATGTTAAAAAAATAGGTGGATGTGGTGTTTGGAGAGATGGTTTAGTGGTTAGGGGTTGTAGGGCTAATGGTTGGGCTTGATGATCTATTCCAACCTTGATGATTCTATGATTCTATAGCACATTTCATGGAGCTATAAAGCTCAAACTACACAAGTGCAAGATGCAGTGACAAGAACACCTTGCTAAGTTTTCCCATCATTAGCTGAGACCCAAAGTAACTCTCATCTTTCTCTGACAACTCAAGCTAACACTGGCATCATGAGCAGCTGTGAAGGTGTGCACACTAGCACGCTTTCCAGTGGAAACAAGTTAAGAGTCAGATTTAATCAAGCTCTCTCTTTTTTTTTTCTTTTCCTGAGATTTCCTGACAACATTTCCTGCAGTCTAGAGAGCCTAAATAACACCATGAAACATATGCAAGGTTATTAAAAGTATTTTGTAAGCAGAGTTTGCAGTAATGAAAATAAAGCACACTCATAACAGACTATCTCACATGTATTCAGGATTGAATAAAGCACACAGGTAAATCACAAGAGGATTTTTCTTTTTCAGGCTATGGATAGGCAAATTTCAAATTTCTTGATATATTTTTCATTAAAGAATGTATGAGGGTTGTTCTTTTAAAAATGTTATGTAGATCTACAGGAGAGTTATGCCCTAGATGTATCAGAGTCCACACTCAAAACCAGCAAATTATCCTGGTTTAGTCACATTATTAATTTGTTCTGTGTCAAATTGAGATATTGCCTGCACTTTCCTTAGAGGGAGCCACGAAACAAACTAATTCGTGTTTATAGAGCACTTCAGATGGGGTTCATCTGGCTAAATGTCAGCTCTCCAGGCAGGGTAATAACAGCCACTCTTTCAATCAGGTATAGAGATTCAAATACAGGCACCTCTAGGGAAATTAATCTAATTCTAAAACAGATGCCAAAAGTGCATGTTTCTCTCAACTGAGATAGAGTTTAGGATGCTCAGGGCCTGCTATACTCCCCTAATAAAGGTCTACAGCTGGGGAGATAACCTCTATTCTTAGATACTCCATTGCCAACCAAAGCCCGTGAGGCAGTGAGCACTTCAGCTGCTGAAGGATTTCAATTGTGTTACAGAAAATGTGGCATCAGGCCATACCCTAAACAAGGAAGAGCTGTGCTGAGGATGCAATGTGTGTCTCCTAATTTTAGCTGTTTGAAAAGGAGACATCTGATGGATGGCAAGTTGCTTCATTTCCCTTGTGGGTCAGCAGAGAAATATCAGAGTTTTTAGAAAGACAACTCGTCCCATCTGTCTCCAACCTAACCAAGGACAGGTTGAATCACTATCTGGCCGTGCCTGCCTCCTTCTATTCAGTAGAAAGGGAATCCATAGAGACAGCAATTTTTATACTGCTGAAGTTAGGTGAGATATATTTCATTCACAGGGAATGCTATCCATTTTGTCCACTAAATGAGAAGACAGATGTAAGAGCAAAATACTGCTAACTAATCACATATAATTTATATTTACACTGTCTCATTTGCCTCCAGGACTGAATAAAGGTTGCAGTTGTTTGTTTTTTTTTTTTAATTTAGACTAGTAATACTGTAATTTTGCTATCCTGACCATTTACTGCAACAGCCTCCTTAAACAGATACCATACCATTTCTAAATTCTATGATAATACATATTATTTTAATGGGAGAAGAAACAAACCCAAATTATTGTGATTTGAGCCAAGAAATCAGTTGATGCACGTTGCCCAATGAGACTGGAAAGAAGACAGATAGGGAAACTTCCAAATAAATTTGTACCTCTAAGGTAATTTTAACCTGAAGTAAAATATAATAATAATAAATTACCATTTTATAAATAATAATTTTATAAATATTATTCTTATCATCATTATCATTGAATCACAGAAATGCCAGGTTGGAAGAGAACTCAAGTATCATCTGGTCCAACCTCTCTAGGTAGCAACACAGTTTAGATGAGATGGTCCAGCACCTTGTCAAGCTGAGTCTTAACAGTGTTCAGTGTTGGGGAATCCACCACTACCCTGGGAAAATTATTCCAATGTCCAACTGCTCTCATGGTGAAAAATTTTCTTCTGATGTGCAATCGAGATCTCATATAAATATAGATATTAATATATTTTTGTATGTTTTAACTTGAGATAAAGTATTTATACCTCAAGTAAACATATTATTATGTTTACATCATATGCCTGGAAGTACTTTGAGTATGTTCCATACTTGAGTATGATGACTTCAGGACTGGAACTGGGATGGTGAAGGAGACAGCACGATGCTTTTAATTTAGTCTTGAACCACAATGTTAATGTAAAAAAATAGGCGGTTCTGTAACCTTTTGTCCAACACTTGAAGAGGAGTTTACACCTGGCACTGTCTGGCTGCTAACACTGCAGTGGAAACAGCTCACTTAGGTCTTTCCCTGAACATCTCACCAGCCATTTAGTCTGCCTTGTGGCATTTCTGGGCTGGAGTGACAGTAGAAATACGGGCTGTCCCTTGGATTTTTTGCCAGAAACAGGTGTCAGTGCCATAGTGAAAATTAAATCCTACATGTAGCTTCCCAGTCCTCTCCACAAGTGAAATGGGAAAGAACATACCTGCCTAAATTAGCAAGGGCAAAGCTACCATTACCCAGTCACTGCATCATGCTTGAGCACAGGATGAAAATGTGGGATTTTCCTGTTCTCTGTTTCTTTGGTTTAAAGCATGGGTTTTTGTGTACCAGGGCAGGTGTGGTTTTCCAATAGGCTTATAAACTATTTAATCAGTAATGCCATAAATATGGCAATTAATAAGATGAATAATGTTCTTTGATCATAAGCCTCCCACTTCATTATAGCTACT